TAGATTTAACGGGAGGTTATCTGTGTTTAAGAATTAGCTTGAATGGACCCTACGTGCAAAAACCGAGACATAGACTGTCAATGAATCATCAATATTCAAGACTATATCTGCAACTTTTTTAAGCCGACAGTGATCATTTTTCTTTTTTTAACTTATTCTTTGTTTAAATCATACTAAATAATCAGTTACAATTATTTTGTTTGTAATTTATTCTTAGTTCCCTCCATCTCCCTTCCCTAGTACTGTGTAGATCAGGCTCGATGAAGGCTTTGTGCATAGGATATATCTGTGTTTAAGAATTAGTTTGAAGAATTTAGATATGAAACTCAAAACTATATACAGTTATACAAATAATTAAACTGAAAAAATATTGTTTCAGAGATTTGATGAATTATTTCTTTAGGTTCTTGTCCAACATGTTGGATGTCCCTCAAAATCCACTCGACAAGGTCAAAGCGTAGACAAAAAGATCTACCAATAGTCTTAGCTTCTCACTTGGTGTATAAATCCCTTCTATAATGACTACGTCAGAAGAATGAACTTCAACTTTCCTGCAAGACTGTAACCAATTTGTGAATTGGATTTAAAATCATATATGAGAGCTTCAACAGGCCAAAATTAAACACAATGAAATCTTGCCAAAAGGGTATTTTTTGTATAACATAAACTTTTTGAATCAGAATCAAAGAAAACGGCATACTACAAATGAAATGCATTAGAAAAAAACCGACTTCAGTTTCAGATATCAAAGAGTTAATAATACCCCTTTAACATTTTAAAATATTTGTTTAGATGAGATCATAAAAGAAGCTTCCTCAATGATGTTGTTGCTAAGTCAAAGTTTGTAACTTACACCGTTACACGTATAACGTATTCAAACCCTGGCCCTGTAAAAGTTTGAGGGCCTAAATATTAATCTGTTGCACACATTTATATGTATTGATAAAAGATGATTATATTATTTATATATATTTATCATTTATAAAATAAACGAATAAAGCTACAGTACATCTTGCTAACGTGGTGAACCAAAATAAATGTTACTCGAATCCCAGAATAAGTTAGCTTTTTTTTTCCTTGACTTTTTAAAAGCTAGCGTAAGTATTTCGCTGTTTATTTTTATATAAACATATTTATAATATGACATTAATCTATTGCAGTTGTACTGATAAAACAATTTAAGTTCTAACTTTAAAGTCACACTTTCAATCCTTAACAAAGACAATTATCTTTTTGGAATTTTAACTTAATTTAGTTTTGCAAGTCATTTATATGTAAATTTTTTAGCATACAGTAATAATGTATTGTACTGTCAGTCTCATCGATTATAATAGTAGGGTCCAATCTAGGATACTTGGGATCAAGTCTCAGAAATAAGCTTTTTTAAAATCAAATTCACCTAGAAGGTTAATTTTCTTATTATTTGCATATGAATTTTGATAACTTGAGGATACCTCTTTTTTGGTAGTTGCCCCTTATCCTTAACGATGTTTAGACTTTGGAGTAACAGTGCATGTTTAACGCATTAACTAATTATTGCCCCTCCCCCAAAACACTTGTCTTTGGTTCCCATTTATTATTGGATCACAAATGGATAGATTACAATAATTTGACTACTATGACACAACCAACACATATAAATGTTGTCCAAATATAGTCAACCATTTAAATAAAATAAAATAAAATAAATCTCATACTTCAGTTTGAAGACTTCGGAAAACCCTCAAGGCACATTACAGGTCATCTACAAACATTTAAATCCCGTCCAACCAGCTTGCTATCAATTTATTCCATTAGATAATTCCTTGTTTATCGCATTGACAACAACAATTGGTTTGTAATGTGACGATCTTTTTAAGCCACCAAACTTTTCATTAAGTGAGAAGCATGACATTATAAAATGATTTGAGTTAAATCTATTCGAAATACTATATCTATTTGTAGCAAGTGTAAAAGTTAAATAGCAATTTAAAAGAATGAGTAATTCAAAGTTGTTCCTCTCCTTTTCCCTTATTTTTTCCTTCATCTGTTTTGCTTCTTCCTCTTTTTTCAATACCACTAAAAATGCTCTTCTCAACAGACCCTTGCGTTGCTTCTCTTTAAACAAAGACTCCCCTCAATCAATTTCAAGGAATATGATCCCCAATATAACGCTGCAGGTGAAATGTTGTTTAGTTTTGATTATCATCCAATTATGATGAACTGGAGCACAAGTACGGATTGTTGCAACTGGGATGGCATCACCTGCAACCACTTCACCGGTGATGTTATTGGTATTGACCTGAGTTATGGTATGCTACAAGGTACCATCCACCCTAACACCACCCTTTTTGATCTTCCTCATCTACAAAGGCTCAACCTTGCATATAATAATTTTAATGCTTCCCAACTTCCTCGTGAAATTGGTAGGTTTTCAAATAGTCTCACACATCTCAACATCTCTTCATGTGGGTTTACCGGTGATATTCATAGGGAAATTGTTGGCGATTTGTTGTCATCAATATTATTTAAGTGTAATGGGATTACTTTGTTGACCAAAAGTGATCTTGATAAATATTAAACAAGTAAGGAAGGTGTGGAGTACACACTTGTTTAAGTTTGATCAAGTTTCAAAGTAGACTATCATTTAGGGGCGAAGCCCCTAAACGAACGGGGGTCCGGGGGCAACGCCCCTGGGAGCGGGGTCCAAGGGGCAGAGCCCCTGAGTGGCTAAGGAATTTGATTTATGAAATTCCATTGTGGCCCAAACCGATATCTACCATTTCTATAAGATGTGATAGTGCTGCAACCTTGGCTAAGGCTTATAGTCAAGTGTACAATGGAAAGTCTAGACATTTAGGTGTTAGACATAGCATGATTCGTGAGCTCATCATGACTGGTGTGATATCTGTGGAGTTTGTAAGAACTCAGTTGAATTTAGCCGATCATCTAACCAAAGGGTTAGCAAGAGATCTTGTGCACAAGGTGGCTGTAGGGATGGGCTTAAAGTCCACTTAAAATCTTTTATATTGAGATACCTAATTCCCATCTAATGTGATATTAGATGTTGGATTCAATGTGGAAAGCTTGATATTTGAAGATTGGAACACATTATTATCATCATCCCAAGTATGTGTTCAATACTGCAAGTAAAGGAGGTTGAATTTATATTCTTAATAGTTCTTTTGAAAAATTGCATTTGCAGGTGCAAGAATAAAAGGACTACCTATATAAGAATGAAGTTTAGTTGCTTCAAGAAGTTAAGACTTGGCTTTGATATGCTTATTGAAGGATGGGACACAAGCTAGTAAAATATAGTGTCAAGTTAGCACTTATGATAAGGTAAACTGTTGTGTGTATTATCTTCATGTATTCACTATGGATAGAAAGGGTTCAATCCTTAGTGACACCCTGATATTCGAATATTTGGATTGTGTAATATACTAATGTGAAATTCAATCGTCACAACATTTCATTTATGCATCAGTTTGTTGGTGTTATGTTTCATTTTAAGTTAATCATGATTACACTTAAATGGGGGAGGTTTGTTGGTGATTTGTTGTCATCAATATTATTTAAGTGTAATGGGATTACTTTGTTGACCAAAAGTGATCTTGATAAATATTAAACAAGTAAGGAAGGTGTGGAGTACACACATGTTTAAGTTTGATCAAGTTTCAAAGTAGACTGTCATTTAGTGGCGAAGCCGCTAAACGAAGGGGGGTCCGGGGGCAGCGCCCCTGGGAGCGGGGTCCAAGGGGCAGAACCCCTGGCTGGGGTCAAGCTGCCAGGTCAGCGCGAGAAATTTTTATATAGGGTATGTTACTATATTAAAAATGCATCAGAAAATCGGATTTGTAGAGAATTGACCATTGTTTGACCCTTATCCAAACTTCCATTTTTATGTCAGTTTTTATAGTTTTATGACAGTTTTCAGACAAAGATCATAAAGTCGGTTTTGGTCTCATTTCTGGTACATACGAAACTATCATCAAAACATTCTAAGTTCTTGTCTCTCTGAGTCTTATCCGATTAAAGCATATTGGGAGTACCACCCAAATACTTTAATCTGAAAGTGTTTAACACAATTCTTAGAATTCCAAGCCTTTCTATACCCCAATTTCTAACAGAAATCTTATTTCTCCCTAAATTGGTTTCTTTTGATCTCTCTTCAAATAATGGATTGCAAATGCATCCGTATGTTTTAAATAATCTGCTACAAAATTCAACTCATTTGAGAGAGGTTGCCATGGCTCATGTTGATATAGGTTGGGTTTTACCCACTTATATTAATATCTCTATTTCTATAAAATCACTCGATCTTAGCTGGACTGGTTTGCAAGGGAAATTACCTGATAACATCTTCAATCTTCCATATTTGGAACAACTTGACTTGTCAGCTAATTGGCTCCTCACTGGTCCATGGCCCAAAATTAACACGAGCATCAACATTCCTCTCAAGTTGTTGGCTCTTGGAAATACCAATTTATCAGGAGAAACATTCGGCTCAATTGGCCATCTCACATCCTTGCAACATTTGGATCTCTCTTCTATAGTTTGTTTGGGCTGTTTCCCAAATCCTTATTACACCTAACACATCTCACTACTCTTGTTTTAGAAGGTAACATGCTTAATGGCACGTTGCCTTCTTTGTTGTTTACTCTTCCCTTAATAGAAGAAATCAATCTTGGCTTTAACTTGAGTTGTTCAAGTGTTGTTCATTAAAAGTGTTACTCCTTCGTCAGAACCTATTTGATGGCGAGGTTAATCACGGATTGAATTCTTCGTTATTTATCCAACTTGTTAACCTCAATTTCCTAGACCTTCAATCAAATAGTTTCAAAGGTGTACGAAATTTCGAAACTTTGTTATCAAGCCTACCAAACCTTACAGGACTCGATCTCTCCTATAGTGGCTTAACTGTTCTCAACAACAATTCTACCACCTATGTCAACCCTAATTTTTGGTTCTTAAATTTGGCATCTTGCAACCTAAATGCGTTTCCAAAGTCCTTACAAGCTATGAAAAATCTTCAATATTTATTATTATTATATGGCAACAACATAAAGGGTCGCATTCCCGATTTGGCTGGAGAGATAGGAGGAAATCGGTTGATTGCTGTGGATCTCTCAAATAACTCCATAACAGGCTTGCCACAGTTTCAGTGGGATGGAATAAATCAACTATCCATCCAGTCCAACATGATTCAAGGACCATTCCCTCCATCAATTTGCGACATGAGCAATCTACAATATCTCGATCTGTCCAATAATAGTTTTGATGGAGTGATTCCACAATGCATTGGAAACATCAGCTCTCTTGGGATGCTGCATTTGGGGGCCAATCTTTTCAATGGCACCATTCCAAATGCATGTACAGATTATAGACAGTTGACGTGGTTCATTTTGAATAAAAATCAATTTGAAGGAGAGATTCCCACTTCTTTGTCCAAATGTAGAAATTTGCAAATACTTGATTTGGGAAACAACCATTTGTATGGCACATTCCCTGGCTGGTTATCAAATCTTCCAAGGTTGCAGGTTATTGTTCTCAAATCAAACAATTTTCATGGTCCGATTGAAACATCTTCAAAAATTAAACTCCCATTTCCACTTCTGCGAGTTCTCGACTTATCTCATAACCAGTTTGCTGGACATCTCCCAACGAAATATTTTCAATATTTCAATGCCATGAAGGACGTGGTAAGGACAGGATCAACTCCAGAATATTTGCAGCTGAGAGGCAAGTATTACTTTGTGATTGTTGGAGTGAAAGGTCATCAGCTTCCATTTCCACAACTTTTGGTTGACTACACGATTATTGATCTATCAGTAACAAATTTGAAGGAGATATTCCGGATACCGTTGGCACTCTTAACTCACTTAAAGTGCTCAACTTATCCCATAACGACCTCAATGGTGGAATCCCACATACTCTGGGTAGTCTCTTGGAGATTGAATCATTGGACCTATCATGGAACAAACTTACAGGTTACAGGAGAGATCCCTCGAAGTCTTTCAAACATCACTAATCTTGCAGTGTTAGACTTCTCACAAAATCATATTGTAGGACGTATTCCACAAGGAACACAATTCAACACGTTTGAAGGGAGGTCTTTTGGAGGGAATTTGGGATTGTGTGGGTGTCCGTTGACCAAGCATTGTGAGCATCCACGTTCCCCACAACTTGAAGTTACTGATGGTGATGGAGATGAAGATGAGAGTGGGTTTACATGGAAAGTGGTGATGTTAGGATATGGATGTGGCACCCTACCTGGATTGGTGATAACATATGTCGTGTAATCATGTTGTCAACTGGAAAACCAAAGTGGTTAAATGCAATATTAGATGCATCAGAGCATATGATCCGGACAAGGAAAAAGAAAAGAAGAAGATATGTATTTATCGGGAAATGAAACTAGTTTCCGTATGGTACGTGTTACACATGTTTTCCTTTTGACCAAATCATGCTAAGCGCCTTATGGTGCGTTTAATTATGGAAAAATGGGCCATTTTCCAAGAAAAATTTAGAAGAAAATTGAGAATTTTGAAAATGTGTTTTCCTAAATTTTTCATGAAAATTAAAATTTTCCGGTTTTCAAAATTACAAAGAACTTAAAAAATTTCAAAAAACCGATAATTATTGTTTTTCATATTTTTCTAATACAAAAAATTTCTAAAATGTAAACACACACCCACCCCCATTCCATCCAGCTCTACAGACCCCCACCCCACCCACCTCTACCTACCCCCACCCTAACACCCCAACCCACCACTACCCCATCATTGCCACAACCACCACCACCGCTGCCATCCACCAACGTCACTCCGCCGCCACCACTACCACTACCACCCCATCACCACCACAACCGTCACCATCATTTCCACCACCACCGCCACCATAGACCCTGCCAACACTATCGTCATGACCACCACCACCGTTGCCGCCACCACTACCACTGTCGACATCATCCACACCATCGCCACCACCGCCCCCACCATCACTGCTACTCCACCACCACCACCACCACCACCTCACCCCGCCTACCCCACCCTACCACCACTACCGTTTTCTAAAAATGAAAACCGATAACAAAATACACATCTAAACACGTGAATAAATTTTCTAAAATAGAAAATGAAACATGAATAAATTTTAACTAAACACGTTTTCTAAAGTTTCCAATGATTAAAAATTGAAAACAAAAAATGAAAATTGTTTTTCTGTGCCTTAACACAAACTTACTACTTTTGTTTTCCATTTCAATATTGTCAGATGCAAGGTAGAGAATATTGTGTAAGGGCTTGAAGTTTATTGTAGATTTAGGCGTTGGTCATGCAGATTCTTAGTTATATTTTGATTTTAGACTTTTTAGAATTTGGATTATTATTTGTACATATATTACTTAAATTACTTGGTAGGTGGAATTTACCAACTTCATTGGAAGAAGTCTCACTGTCAGAGGCTCGTTTATCACACCAATTTTACACAATTAGACACAAAAATTAAATTAACGACTTACTTGACTGACACAACAAAAAACCTTACCTTTAGCGACGACAAAAACGTCGCAATTGATTCCGATAGTGGTCGCTAATACCTTTAGCGACAACTTGTCGTCGCTAAAGGGTCGCCGCTATTACCTCGTAGCTAATACTCAATTATCGTCGCAAAAACTGTCGTCTCTAATACTTGTCATCGATTTAAGTCCTCTTCTTCGCTATTAGCATTGCCTCTATTGGTATTCCGACCACCGGTCGGAGTTTTTTCCGGCAAGGCTTTCCGGAGGCAGGCGTTGTTGCAATTATCACATATCGTCGCAAATGTTGTCGCCCCTAATGCTTTTTGTTTAAACATTTTATATATGATATTAGTTTATATATTATAAAATGTAGATTTTATAAAAATACAGAAATCAATACATACCACATTAAATAAAACATCAAATAACATAAAACAATGCATACCATGTTACATAAAACATCAAATATATCACATTACATAAACTATCTAATAAATCCAAAATAAACTTCAAATATACTATCCATAAACTATCTAATAAATCCAAAATAACATCATCCATAATATAAAACAAGAAATACTAGGCATCTTCGTCTTTCCCATAGTTGTTTTCCTCGTTGTTGACTTGGTTCTTAAACGAGCGGATAATATCACCAATTGCATTCACAAATGCCGGGTTTTGAAGAAAAGCATTAACATCCACATCCTACAAAGTATGTATATAAGTTAAAATATCAAACTAAAAAAACAAATTATTATTACTTAACAATTGAGTCACAAGCACATTAAGTCATTAACAATTTAACAAACTATCAAACCACCAAATGAATTAAGTCGTTAACAATTTAACAAACTATCAAACCACCAAATCAATTAAGTCTTAACAATTTACCAAACTACCAAATTACCAAACTACCAAACTAAAAATTCATAACAATTGAATTAACTACTTAACAAATAAGCAAAATATCAAACCACCAAAAATTACTATAAATGCATCAAGTTCTTAACAATGTAGCAAAGCTACCAAATTCTTTAAGAGTTTAATAAGTACCTGTGTTGATTGCAGTGTTTGTGACTTTGATTGCCATTGGGATGGAGCACTTGTACCCGCTGCAGAAGGAGGTTTAGGCCCGATGCCTCTCACATGCCCCCGTCGAGCACCTAACACCTTCTCAAATATTGCGATCCAATCAGTGGAGTCCGGATCACCACTAGATTCGGTTATTTGTTGACTCTATAAAGCAACCTCACCAACAACAATCTACTTCATTTTTAAGTAATAAAAACTGACATATTGGTCTTCAACTAACGGATCAACAAATTCCCCTTGTTTATTTACATGCCCACGGTGAAATGCTTCAAGTCTATTCAAATTCTGTTTAACATTACAAAATATGTTATACTTGAATAAACATTAAAAAATATGTTATAACTGAATAAACATTACTGTAACTTACGTTCTTAAAACAAGCACTATTGTAGTTGTACGTCCCTCCACGATTCTTAACTACTTGCTTCTTCCGACATTCTTTGTTTTTGACTGGATCGTTTTATATGCTTATCTGTTAAGAAGTGGTCAATAGTATCACTCCAACGCTGCGGATCCATATCATCGGGGTCTCAAGCCCTTCCTGCCTCCACATCCCCTTCAAAACCAGTAAAACAAGTTTTTTCAATATGTTTGTGACCTCTATACCACGCACATATCTGATTGTTCAATGACGCCCAAAAAACTGAAGCCATGAGATCATTTGAAATCGCTCCAAAATCAAACCATGTATACAAACAAAATAGAGAAGTTAAAAAAAATCAAAATTAAACATATTAAATATAACTTTATAAATAATTTACCGAAAGATACTGGAACGTGCCATCCTTTTTGGCTTCATGAACTTCTTTCCATATGTTCTTATCCAAAGCGATGTTGCGCCACATATAGCTCGCAACCTCCCAAATGATGCATTCGTACACTTCCCTAATCAGCATATAAGTATTTCTATCAAATACTATCTTCAGAGGCCTTTGCCGTTAGCTTGAAATAACTTATACAATTTTTTGTTTATTGTCATGCCTCTTCGCTTTGGAGGTACCGCTGCATAAAAAAAATATTACTCAAGATAATTTTTATATACATACAATATGAAATACAAAGAATTAGAATAATTTTTAATTACCATCGATCTGGTGATCACCAAAACCTCCACAGAACGGATGTGGTGGCTCGTCACCATCGTTACCTCTATGGCCCATCATAACAACCATGAGATGGAGCAATGCAATCCAAAAAAATGACATCATGAAAAATTATAACATAATATATATATATATATATATATATATATATATATATATATATATATATATATAGACACATACATACATATAATATGATATGATTACAACAAATACAAACCTTATTTTACTAGTCAAATGTAAAGATTTTTAACCATTCTCACACTGAGGCACTTCGGTGTCTGCTGTCACATCACTATCATAATCAGAATCCTCCTCATCATAATCAGTCATGCAGTTAGACACATTATTGACGATACCCGTTGGCAGACCAACTTCAATATTATCTTCAACCGATTGGGAATTTTGAAAGTACTGGCTAAAGTCGATTGAAAGAGTAAAATTAGAAGAAGCATTACTAAGAACGACATTGGCTGAATCATTGTCGACATTTTCAATGGGATCATGGTCGACATCGTTCATCGGTAGATCCCAAATTCTTCTATGATTAACATTTTCAACAACCCACCGCTGGTCGTTATTTTCGTCACTTCAAGAAGGTTCTCGGATGTAAAACACTTGCTTGGCCTGCATAGCAAATATGAGTTGATCTTCGCTGCTCAATTCGCGTTGTTGGTCGATACTTGTGAAATTATTATCAGATTTAACTCCTGCAGTATCGAACCACAATGAAAAAGTACAATGGAATAAGTATGAGGATAATGCAGCTTGATAACCTCTTATAGTTGACCATAATATTTCTGCTTATTCTCTCCCTCAGTTAGAACCCCCGAATTTTGTGTTGATCGTTGGGTGTCACACATAAGTACCATAAACATAACACCGTTCATTATGAAAGCGGTGTAAGTAAAGGCATTTGTATGCGCACCAATTGAAAGAGCCGATGAATCCTTGTTAAACTCTGGAGATTTTTGTTTTTGCATATCATAAACCTTGTGACGGAACCATTTAGGGAATTCGTTTTTTATCACTTTCAGGATGTAATGATTTGAATTCACTACATTAATGAAAAAGATATAGATTTAGTAAAAAGGGAGAAATTAAAAACAGACAATGAATTAAAAAATAAGAACACTTACACAATATAATTTCTAACTTCGTCACAACTATCAAGCATAAAGAATTGAAGATGTTTTCTCTCCTTTAGACTGAGATTTTTCATTTTCTTTGTGCTAGTCGGCAGGGAAGGCCTTATTGTTTTATCAGTAAAGATAGGGCTTAGGGCCCCCAATTGTAAGGGGCCCCGTTTACTTTTGATCCAAGGTAAGTAGTTTCCAAAAAATCAGGCGTAATTGACTAATTGTTGATCGATTCTTCAATCAAGCGACGATACGGCAGGAAACTTTCGTTCTTTTTTCCATTCTTGTTATCGAATACAGGCCCTTCTCCAATCATTTCTTCTACTCTTCTGTTGAGTTGCTGTCTCGCTGAATCGTTGCAAGCTGCTGTTCTTCACTCTTCAGCAGACTTCAATTCTTCTTCCTTCTTCATTCTTGGTTTCTCCTGATTTGATGATCTGTTGGCT